GGTGTCCCTAGAGCCTTGCCTTCTCTAGGCTGAACAACACCAACTCTCAGCCTGTCTGCATAGGAGAGGTGCTACTGTCCTCTAATCATCTTCACGGCCCTCCTCTGGACTTGCTTTAACAAGTTCCTGTCTTTCTTATGCTGGGGCCCCAGAGTTGAACACAGTACTCTAGGTGGGGTCTCACCAGAGCAGAGGGAAAGAATCACCTTCTATTCTATTGTGCAATCTTCATTTTTTCTACGGGCTGCAGTGATCTGGTATGCAGTCAATTTCATGCTGTGTCTTTCCTCAGACCTTCCTTTTATATTTAAGGAATATGTGTAAAGTGTAAGACAGAGCAGGAACGGTTCTACTAATAACATTTGATTTTGATCTTCAGATTCTCATTTTTATTTGCCATTTTTATCGTACTGCAAACAAGTGTTAGACTGTGTAAAGTGTAAGCACATAAAAGCAGAATCCACTATTTTGCAACACAAATTGCACCAAAATATAGCCTTACAACCTTCAAATATATTTTTTAAAATGAAAAGAAACAAGCAATGAACAGTATTAAAATGCTTATGAAATAATTATGTGCTTATGTATATTATAAATAGTGAGTGTAAGACAATATGGTTTTCTCACGCCAAAAAAATAGCAGTTACACAGATAGCTATTTGTAATTTGCTATACCAGTGTCAGCAGCGTAACAGGTCTCTTACAGTATTAGTCCTTTTGAAAGGCTCCCACAGGCATACAGCTTTATGAAACAAAAGAATGAATGTTGTGATCACTTGAGGCAGTACCATCAAACAGTAAACCGTTGTAGAAAAAAAAATAAATTCAAACATCAATCTTTCTTCTGGCAGGAAAAACACTATTTAACAGACAGTAAGTGCACTGAAATGCACCTATTTTGAAACGGCAACATGGAAGCAAAATGGTGTTTTTAAGAGACAGGTACGAAGGAATTAATTGTTCAGCTGAAGTCAACAAACTCATAAAACTCTGAAAGAATAGAACCATAGAATGGTTTGGGTTGGAAGGGACCTTAAAGATCATCTAATTCCAACCCCCAATATTATATAAAATATTGTAACATAACAGTTCCTAGATGACCAAAGAACTACAGTGCTGTTCATCTAACTCAAGTCACATAATCACATGGCTAAATTACCATACAATAACAAAGAGTTTAAAATAAAACTATGTTGCTCAAGGTGATGGCAAATGCAGAAACAAAAGCTTCAAGGACTTTCTGCATTTATAATACTGACTGGCATAACAATGAAGTGGGGTATTCAATACTAGGTGGTATATAACAAACTGATGAACTTGCAGGGAAAATATATTTATTTATCTGAAGTGTTGTAACACACAAACAGGGAAGAGCTGCTAACCAGGTACCCTCCGATACCCTTGTGAAGCAACTAAAAATGTTTGGTTGGAGGTACACAGTGACATAATTCGTCCATTTCGCAAGGCCAGAGAAAGGTGAAGTTTATCACCAAGGCTCTGAGAAGCTTTCCTGTTCTAAGCACTTCTTATTTCTTCACGAAGGTCAAGTAATTTGTGTCATATTGGAGAGAAATGGTGACGAATCTCCATAAACTCCAGTTTCAACACAAATTCTGCAAGTCGTGCCATAAATATGAAATGTTACTTCTAACGACAGTCTCTTGGTAAAACTGTTGCCTTTCCTTTTACAGGCTTTGAAACACCATGATATAATCAGTCTGCTGACTGGAAACCTGCTTCCTTTGCTTTCTTAACCTTGGTTAGGGTATTGTCACCCTGCACAGTACACACAGAAAGATCTTATCGTACGCAACTATTACTTAAAGCTGTCCACACTGTGGTGGTGTTTTACATCTGGCTTACACTGTGAACACTATCTCTGAAGCCATAAAGGGAAGTGGTTTAGTGGTAAATAAATGGGTAAGTCACCCAGTAATATATATGGGAAGTGAATGATCTCCATTTACCCAACGTGCTCTTGACTTTACCACAGATAATACAAGAAATTACTTCTAAAACAACAGGAACATCCAACTTTTGTAGCATCCAAGGGTAAGAGAAGAGAATGGAATGCAATTGTTGAGCTACCAAGAGGTCCAAATCAAATCCCATGATTCAGAAAATTTTCTCTTAGATCTAACCCTCAACCTCATCTGGAAAAAACACATCTGATACATTCTTCCATGGTACTAGCAGTTGGTATAAAAACATAAAAAATATAGATAACGTTTACAAAGCAGATCAGAAGATGACAGTAAGTGAAAGGATAGAAACATACGAGATATTTTAGAAGCTGAAACATCACTTATAAACAATAACAGAAAGAGAAAATACAGGGAAAGAGATAGAGAAAGACATGAAATAGTGAAAAACAAACAAAAAACAACCAACCATATAGGGAACAGACTGAAAATACTACTACTACAAAAAAAAAAAACAGGGAAAAAACACTGAAAGGATCATACAAGGCATGAATGAACAAGCTGTGACACACTCACACATATGCTTAAAAACATACAAGAGATCAGGTGGACAACAAACCACTGTTTTCTGTTTAAAACATCAAGCCAGAAGAAATTTCAAAGCCTCACCAAGTCAACTGTCAATGAGTGTTTATTTCTCTTTTACTGTCCTGTGAATCCCAATTGTGAATTTTAAGCATCTTGTTTTGCTGCTTTGTGACATGGGCACTTAAATTAACAAATTCTCTTTCTATTGCTAAACAGATTAGCTGTGTTTCTGAAACAATGCCTCTTTGATTTCTGCTAATTGCTTTTCCGGGACTTACCTATTTGAAGAAACTCTACTTGTAAGCATAAATACATGAGATACTTTTATATAAAAGACTCATATAGTGATTCATAATTCTAATGTTCTATGACATGTTCTAAAACAGATTTTGCAGAACTCTGCAGTATGAACTATAATCTATTATAGTTAAAATCAGGAAATTTGCAAAACCTCATGTTAAATTGCTTAATCTATTAAGCTTTAAAAGTAACCAATCTGCTAGTACATTTATCTTTTGCAAGGCAATGTACTAGCAATTTGCTTCTATAGCTACTTATTGAATTATTCCCTGCTATTTTTAATAGTACTCAGAAGATCCACTATAGTGGTAATTTTCACTAGAACTAGGTCAAAATAATTGTATTCAGTACAATCTGATCTGAAGTAGCATTAGATGATTATTTCCTACTTTGGAGACTTAGTCTATTCTATCTCTATCCTCTAAGGCAAGTGCACAAAATACATACATTTATTTTAACTTCACAAGCATTATCATGCCTAGTGTAGAAACAAAGATAGGACCTACAGATAGAAGAAACTGAGAGTATAAGGCAAGCTCTGCTTCACTTTCTACTTGTGCTTGCTACTCATCTTAGTACAGTACAATCTGGAAGTATACTGTTAGTAATTTGTCTCTCAAGTTTCTTTTTACCATTTATATACCCTAAAGTTTTTCACTTTAGGTAGTATTTTGTTTGCTTTCTTACCACTGAAAAATAAAACACAATATTGTACATTTGGGGACAACAAGAACCAAAACAATAGGAGAGGCTTCACTGTCCTTTGCACCACTGTGCACCAAAATATGCATATACAAATAATAGAAGTTGTAGGCTGAGAAGGTAACCAGGTCCCTATACAGGACCCTATATATGGGAAAAGGAAAATGAAGCAAAAGAAGAAAATTATGTCCCAACAACAAGGAGCACTGGAATAAAACTAGGCATAACAGTATCATGCAATTCTAGCTCTTCAGCTGCCTAAACTGTATCTGCAAGACATTAATATGTTTGTCTTGAAGCAGTCACATATTGTTAAGCTAGATAAGAATCCTCAGGCTACTGTGCAGATCATCTCATCCCAGTCCTCTCCTATGTCTATGGCTATGTTCCAATGAGCTCAATGGGAGCTTCACCATGTCTTTCAGCTCCTTCTGTGCTTTCCTCAATAAGAGACTTCCACTCATGTCAGCATGACAAAGTGACTGGAACGATATAATTAGAAATATCTTCATAGATGATACAAAAATTCATGTGGAGACCACACAGGTTTTTGCCACAGTTTTAATAAGCAGGCATGCTGTATTTTTTAAATATTGGGCAACACCAAAAGGTCATCATCCGTTACCATCACCAATTTGATAGAGGATGAGAAATTTTGTCAAAGTTATAGGCTACTTTACTTAAGAGTAACTGGATTTCATTAAGCCAATTCTTGGCTGATTCCAATGTTAAATTCTACAATGCTACTTTATCAGGACCCTTCCCCAGAAATGAAGAGCATAACATTTGAGAGCAATTTTAGTCATGTAGGCATTTTTATTGTTGATCTATAAAAGATAGGATTTGATTTAAAAGGCTCTTACTGTACTTTTTTTCACCTTTTACAAATTGAAGTCTCTTTTCAGCTATGTCTTTCTGGAAGCCATGTTCTTTCACATTTAGGCCTCCTTTCAACAAAAGAAAGGCAGCTCAACAAAACACGAGAACACTTGCTTGTTTACCTCACCACCAGGACTGCAAAAGCAGCCTGTGAGGGAAAAGGGGAAAGCCTTGGAAAAGAGACGTCTGATTTTTACGCATTTTACGGAAGTTTACCTTGATTACACTTCTTGTATTATAGTATCTAAAAGTATTCTTGCCCAGTTTGCAATTGTGAGCATATGTCAGAGGAGAGAAAGGGCTTGAAAAGATACATCAAAATCAAAACCAGCAGTGTTTAACTACCCCTAGTTAGAATTTTTAAGACTTCAAATAGTAACCAACTTTCTTTCCGGGAAACACACACACACACTCTAAACTAAAACTAGATGCACTCCACAACTTAAAAGCAGCTTTTAAATTATAATTCTTAAGCGTATGTTCATGTAAGTTCGTGCTCCACATGCATACAAATATGTACACAGACAGACAGTTAAGAAGTTAAAAAGCAAATATTACTTTGCTAGACACAAAGTGAGACACGGTGATTTGTAGCCATCATTCACTTACTATTTAGTTGAATCTGATAATTGATACTCCCGTCGTCTGTCATAACATTCCTGGATTCCAGGGTCATTCCATAAGCTTCTTATTGCATCTACATACGGGTTCTCAAAAGTTGACACCTTTTCTACATCGACTTCTCGAACTAACTGTGCATGAGCCTAATTAAAAGAAACAAAACAATAAACTTTACTTAATTTTCTCTACTTGCAGATAGCTTATATACAGTGAACATGATTAACAGGAATAATTTTCATGACTGGCCATCCCACCAATGTGCATACACAATTTGAAAAATCAAGTACCATGATGAAGGTTGGTAAGATGGAGAAAAGAGACTACCAGTATAAGGAGTTCCAGAAATGAGAAAGAACTGAGGAACCCTTCATTTTTTTATACAAAGTACATACATGTCAACATGAATTAGCAAATTATTTACCTTTCATGCTACTAGACACTGTCAAACACAATACCTACAATCCACTCTATGAGCTGAATAACTCACAAGAAGATAAAAAAAGACAACAAAGTCCTGAAATATTCAAAGATGAATAATTTACTAAGATTTATGTGAATGAACTTAGGGACGCTGCAGGAAGAACCATCACTGATGTATTCCAGATGACCTTAAAGTAAATGCTGAATGAATGAGAATAAATAGGAGTACTGAGTAAATTAGAAATGAGTGATGATAAGGTGAGCTTGAACTAAGACAAACATTAACAAGTATAGCATTAGGACAGAAGGTGAATTAACAAATGTGGGCCTTCCTTTCAGACTACGTTTACTCCAATCCCGTATAATTTAGATGAAATGGATAAAGTGAATAAAATTTGTATTTAATTAAGCTAACTCTAAAGAAAGCTTCCATTTTTGATTTTTCAGGTATAGAGCATATAAAATATCTGCTTGTTGAATTATAACCACAGAATCACAGAATGGGCAGTGTTGAAAGGAACCTCTGAAGATCACCTAGTCCAACCCCCCTGCCAAGCAGGATCACGCAGAGTGTGTTGCACAGGATAGCCTCCAGGTGGATTTTCAGTATCTCCAGAGAAGAAGACCCCACAATCTCTGTGGGCAACCCGTCCCAGTGCTCTGTCACCCTCACAGTAAAGAAGTGCCCCCTCCTATTGAGCCAGAACTTCCTGTGCTTCAGTTTGTGCCTGTTCCCTCCCATCCTGTCACTGGGCACAACTGAAAAGAGACAGGCTCCATCCACTCGACACACTCCCCTCAGATATTTATACACATTGATGAGGTCTCCCCTCAGCCTTCTCTTTTCCAGGCTAAACAGGCCCAGCTCTCTCAGCCTGTCCTTGTACGACAGGTGCTGCAGTCCCCTGATCACCTTAGCAGCCTTCCTCTGGACTCCCTCCAGTAGCTCCATGTCCCTCTTGTGCTGGGGAGCCCAGAACTGGACACAATACTCCAGGTATGGCCACACCAGGGCTGAGCAGAGCGGGAGGATCACCTCCCTTGACCTGCTGGCAACACTCTTCCAAACGCAGCCCAGGATACCACTGGCCTTCTTGGCCACAAGGGCACATTGCTGAGCCATATGGTCAGCCTGCCGTCCACCAGGATCCCCAGTTCCCTCTCCTCAGAGCTGCTCTCCAGCAGGTCAGCCCCCAGCCTGCATGGGAGGAATAAATGATCTCTGACCCTATCCTCTTTGACCAAGGGAAAATCCTTCTTTCTCCGGACTTAACCAGTCAACCAACTTGGCAGATTCAGACTCTGACAGGAGCAGAGAGAATAGAGAGATAAGGAGTTTGCCTTTCAGAGAGATTAATTTTAAAAAGTTATTGGTGTTGCCACAAATGTATTAAAACTTATTACTAAGAAAAGTGAGATTCTTAGAAAAGTTCTTAAGATTCAGTTTGTACTATAAATTCTGTTTTTACTTTAACAAGTAATCCCTAAAATTGGAAACTGCTGATAGGAAAACCCTAATAAACACATCACCCTCCAAAATACTGTCAAAACTTAGTTAAAGCCTACAGAGACAGAGAAGAACAATTTGTAATTTGTTCTGAAAGCATTATGTACACGATTCAGTGTATGAACATATGTATCTATGTAGATATAGATATACATACAAACACACACAAACACAATGAGAAAAAAAAAATAAGGGAAACTCAGTCAAGCAAAACCACGAAGAATTAAATTCTCTTATATAGTCTGCATTTCAGGCAAAGACACAAATCTCCTTCCATTTTAAATTAGGTGAAGGTATTCTGAAACAAGCTTTTTGGTTATTTTTAAATAAATTTATCCTGTGTTTGCACATGTGCAACCCCAGCCCCCCTTTTAAACTCTCCAGGAGAATTATGGTACTGCTCATTACTTAACAAAGTATTTTATATACAACTGTTGTTTATTCTAGATGAAATAATCTTCAAATTCCATGTGAAAAAATTGTGTCTTAGAGATATGCTGAACTTCTCTGTTACCAGAACTCAATCTTAAAAGTTCTAACAGAAAGTATTTTCTTCTGCATCACGTCCACACATACCCAAAATATCTGGAAAAATCATGAAGGGTCCCTGCATCCTCAGAGCGATTAATAAGAAATGGTATTCTACTAAGCACAAACCAATGCTCTCATGAAATGGGTTGAATTGTTTTGGAAACTAACTTGTATCTTATCAGGCTCAGTTATATTCTCTTGACTGTGTATGCTTCCAAAAGAATATGCCACAAATATTTGTTCATTGTTTGTTACAAACTAATAAACAGTATATTCTGATACTGTTTTGTTTGGGTTTTTTTAAGCACTTGAGCTCTGAAATTATAGCCAAGTGCTCTCTAGGTGCTAATGGAGGTGAAAGACTGACCAACTGTTCAAAAGCTGCTCTTAGGTTTTCATTGGAAATCTGTCAAAACTGAAATATTTCTCTAAAGGTTCTCTAAACATTCTCTGGAAGGTGCTCAAATGTTCAACACTGGTAGCAGAGAAAATTGTGCAGGATAATTACTTTATTTTAGACAGATACCTATCTAGAACAGATAGTTACTACTACTACAGTCGTCCAAAATATTGCATTGTTTTATTTATCAGTTCTGTGACTTCTACCATACAATTAACATGACTCTGCACTGCAGGTAAAACTTAACGAAATAAACTATGGTATACGCTGGTAAGTTACATCCATCAGAAAATTAATTCAGCTTTTTTAAAAGAAAAAGTATTTCCCCAGTGAATACTATTTCTGATTCCCTGTGGTTTGCTTGGTCAACTCATGAGAGCTGACTCACTCTACTGACTTACAGTTTACTACAGTTCACTTCACATCACTGCTACTTCTCTTAAAGAAGTAATGCCCCTTCACATAGATTTTAAGTCTTTATTAATTCTCATTTATGTCTTCATGTTCCCAAAGTACTATGTTTTCTTGTACACAACATTTTTCATTTCTCTGAGAGTCTTCGTCAGCCAATATATTTTGCTGGCTTCTAATTCCTGGTGGCAAAGACAGAGATCTAAATACATCTGTTGGCTTTACACTTCTCTTATTTGCTCTGATGAAAGTAAAAAGTAATTCTACTGAAACCTTGTGAGGTGAAGAAACATAAACTAAATGTAGAAGAACCACCAAGCATGCACATTTGGTGTCAAAACTGCTAACTACTAGCTTTAGTTTCCTTCTAATAATATAAATAGCAAATTCCAAACATTATTTTTGATGTTAGCACTCAAATTACTTGCAAGAAAAAAATAATCCAAGGACTCTACATAAATCCAATTTCTGTAAGCATAAACTTTATCTAGAACTTCTTAGTCTTCACTAATACTTTTGCTGTACCCTGAAATTAATGTTATTTTGAGGGGTGTGGGGAAGTCAAGCTATTACCATTTTAAAAACATGATTTCTTAGATTTCTCTTTTGGGACATAAATAATTACTATAAAGGCATTCAAAAACCAACAACAACAAAAATAAAATAAAATCCAAACAAAACTGAAGTATTCTGCAAGTATCAACTTCAAACTGGTTATTTAGATGTAATTACTAGTTCAGCTGTGATGTACCACCAAATAAATCTAGACAGTGTAGCTACTTTTCTGTCCAATACACTATTTACATCAGCAGTGACTTTCCATGGCTGTCAAGCATAAGAATACTTGTAACAATTTTCACGTTATGTCCCAGAGATCTTATTAACACTCATCCAATTATTTTTTGCAAATGACACCTATCCTAAAGAGTTTCTTCACTGATTCCTACAAGCATTTAATAAATGATCCCAGAAAAAAACAAAACAAAAAAAAACTATTCGTTTCTGAAACAAGGAAATCTGAGCCAGAGAAAATACCAAAATAGCTATCTTTTCTTCTTCATCATCATTCCCCTCAGCAAACTATGAATAGTGTAAAAACTAATTGTGGGCTTGAACAACATTATACTTTTATGTTGGTCTGTCTGTAATAGTCTTTTGCACACAATCTGTTAAAAGTATGGAACTTCTGGGCTCCATTGCATCAGTTTTCTACTTTTAATCTGTTAATTCTTTGAAAGCTCTCATGCTTCTTAGGGACTAAATGGGCCAGCCAATACTTGTGTTCTTGTGTTTACTCTATATGCACATCAACCATTTGGAGCCTTACAAACCAATGTTTTAGAAAGCTTGGTAAAAGTTTCAGATTTTTATATTCTTTTTGATATAATCACTGCAATTTTTCCAGAGTAGCTCTACAACCTACCAGATTGATTAATATGATAGAGGCCAGGCAGAAATGCAGTCTATTTCAAATAGTTCCTCTGAGATACTAAATCCACAGGAGAAAGCAGTATGCTAGAGATGCAGCAGGGAAGGGAGTTTTTATATTAATGGTCTCTGTGGTCTAGCAGATTTTAAGATGCCCATTTAAAGAATAACCTTGAATGGGATAGATACCTTGTATTTATAAACGTAAATGTTTTCCGCTTTGTAAAAGGATTTCCCAAGCCAATCAGACAAACCCAGCGTCTGTGATGCTTGGCTGCCAGTAGCTAAAGGAAAAAGCACACTGATGGTAGGTCTGTATGCTGAAGTTTATGAAGACTGTACAATTGAGAGCAAAGTCATGGGATCATATCAAAGCAGTCCAGGAGCTGAGTGGAAGTCATTACAAAGTCACCATCATGATCATGGATTTTCTCTTATTTCGCAAG